GGCTCCGCGAAGAGGAGCCACAAAGGGCGCGGGATCGGGATGATGGAACCGCGCGCGAAAGTTTAGAGGGACGGGGAGGCAGCTGCGGCGGCGGAGCGCCGCACCTCACAAAACCAGCCTCCAACGTACAGGATGACCCTCACAACAACAGACCAGCCGGGGAATATTTCGAAGTTATACTGTACCGCACGCAGCCATGCGGGCGGGCTTGCCCACTGCGGCGCCTGCTGGCCCCTTGCGAGTAGGCAACGCGCCCACGCGTCTGCATGCGGTACAGTATACGACTACATTTTGCCACATTTTGCTCCCCTGGGGTCTGTGGGCCACCGCCACCATGCACGTACAAATAACTAACGGAGTTTGTGTGAGCATTGATCTGGGTGCCGTATCCGCGACTAAAATTACACCCCGCGGTGCGCGGCCCCGTCGCGCGCGCGCCCACCCCATCCACCCCCTGCGCGACCCTTCCGCGCGGCCGGGCAGCGCGAGGGTGGCGCGGGGCGGGAGGGGGGCCGGGCCGGCCGCGCGCAGTGGTCCGGGCGGCTGGGCCCACCTTCCAGTACGCCGCCCTCGCCGCCCCCGCGCTATACTTAGGCCGCGCTTTCCACCGGTTTTGTGAAAAACAAAACGGCGCCCGCGCGATATGACACGCTCCGCGAGCCGCTCGGCCGCCGTCCACTTTTCTGCCCCCCCCCCCCCTTTTCCCGGGACCGCAAATGTCCTCGTCGACGTCGACGCGGGCCTGAAGAGGATCGGCTCGTCCTGGGGCCTTGCCTTGCCTGCCTGACCCTCCCGACGGCGGACGCCGCGTGTCCGCCTGCCGCCCGCACTTCCGGTTGGAGGACAAGCGAGGGGTGAGCTCGGCGGTCGGCGAGCGGAAGCCATCCGCCCTGGAGTGGAGGCCCTGCAGGCTGTTGTCGGGGCGGGGGAAGGGATGCGGCGACTCACCCCGAAGAGTGGACTCGGCCGCGCACAGCGGTGCAGTAGTGCGAGGGTGACGCAACACGCCAGCTGACGAGACGATGAGGCCCCAGCAGTGCAAGCAGTGCGCGAGCGAGAGAGACGGTGGCTAACTGGCTCTTATCACACCTCTCTCGCATTTTTTACATTCGAATTACACCGCAAGAGTCGTTATCTTCAA